TTTTTTCTTAGTAAATATTTAAAATATTAAAAAAAAGGATGTCTTCTGTTTGTGAGTCTATTTATTTATTTTGAGTTTAACGATTTTTGTTTTTAATATTCTCTCAAACAATACTAAGAATAAAGTAGCGACAAAATATTTAAATTCAAGAATTTATGTTTTCAGACTTTGCTAAACACATATACTACACGTATAAAAAAAATTAAAATAGTTATTTTTGATATGTAATGTATAGATGTACATATGTATATAAAATATATATTTTTTATTTCAAATATTTGCTGTTTTTGCTTTGTTTTCGCAAAAATAATGGCAAAAAATTACAAAAAAATTTAAATAATTTTTTTAATGTCTTTTCAATTTGTTGTGTTTTTTTTTTATATTTTCATATGAAAAAAATAATTTTATTCAATTATTTTGTTAGTTTCAGCTTCAAACTAATATTTATTTTAATTCTTTGTTTATCTTTTTTTTTCAGGATATTACACCCGAAGTTACGCTGGCGCACTTGCAAGCTGAGATGTGTCCGCGTATTAGCGCCAAAGACTTCACGAATCTGCTGCATCACGCGCCAACCGACATGTGTGCGCTGGATTTGCGCAGCGCCGTAGAGTATTCACATGTGCGCGTGGCACATAGTCTTAATGTGCCATTTGTCGCTGCACAATTGTCAGAACCGCATCTGGATGCGTTAGGTGTGCCACAATTGGAGGAACTAATGCACGGTCGCATTGTCATATGCATTAGCAATACACACGAACACGCTGTGCAGGTATGTCTTTTAAACTTTTCCCTCTAATGTTGTATAGACAGTATTATAAGACGGTTCCTTTTCAGTTCTCAAAATTTTTAGTGGAGTGCGGTGTGATGCGCGTCTGCATCTTGCATAAAGGCTTCAATATTTTGCACACCATCGAACCGAACATACTGATTTCCAACTAACCAACGTGATGCTTTGTGAGCCGAGGTGTGGGGTTTGCTCATGGCGGTAACCGTTATACCAATAATTGCATCGAAAGCAAATTGTACCCTGAAGAGGGTATATTCAGTTAGACACGAAGTTTGTAACACCCAGCGAGAGGGAGGCGACGCTATAAATTGTTTATAAAATTGTTCAGCGTGTTTTCATCTGTCCTTCCGTAAGTCTGTCTGTCTGTATATATGCAAATTAGTGCCTCAAGTCTTGAGATATCCATCCGAAATTTTGCACACGTGGTTTTCTCCTCAAGAAATCTTTCATATATACTTTCCATATAAACTGATCGTTCAAAGTCAAGTTCTTGTATGAAACCCTTTTTAATTTGAGGTGATATCTTCAAGAAATATGGCATGAGTTATTATCTAAAGCAATAATGCAATCTCCGATGAAAGTGTTTAGATTGGATCAATATAGCATATAGTCAAAATAAAGTTCTTGTTTGGAAAACTTTTTTGTTTGGAGCGATATCTTCACAAAATTTGGCATGAATTATTTTCAAAGGCAATGGTAAAATTTCCGAACAAATTGTTCAGATCGGGCCACTATAACATAAAGCTGTCATATAAACTGATTGTTCAAAATCTAATCCTTGTACGGAGACTTATTATCTTAACGAAATATCTTGAAGAAATTCGGCACGAGTTATTGGGGATGTTCGAGCAAGCAAATAACTGCAGCAATATTGCGACAGTGTTGGTTTTCTGCCAATACACAGCTTATACTTATATTGCAACATCTTTGCGTCGAATATGATGCCTTGCGATACTGCCGCAGTGATGGAGACTCGAACATCCCCATTTTCTAAAGCAACAAATTGTTTAAATCGCATCGCCATATCATAAAGCTGTCACATAATCTGACCGATCAGAATCAAGCTTTTGTAAGGTAACTATTCTTTTTTGGTAAAGGGTGTTACTCCTTCGGTGCAATCAAAGCACGTGTCTCGGACTCTCCCAAAGGCTTGGAATATATAGGAATTGGTTATAGCTTACTGTCACCTCATAACAGTATATACTCGGTGGCGGCATGACAAGCGTGGCGACAGTTTCAAATTTAATTTTAATAATTTTTATATCTCATTTGACAATTATGCAATAATGTCATCGCGTGCTAGCTCCGCCAAGCAATTTATGTCTAAGCTTAGTTAACAAGAAAAAAAGTTTTACTGTGGTTATTACTTTTTATTCCTTTATAATATTGTTTAAATATCTTTTGCTAAACTTATACTAAATACATATAAATAATTACATTTATATTAACTAAATAAAAAAATAAAAAAGTTCATTACATCTTACACCTTATATAATAAGCGATTACATATCTGCTTTAAACATATAATTATCAAAAATGAAACATTCACTTTTTATATAATATAATAGCTAAAAGGACATAAAAATTTGTATTTACAATTAAGCTTTTTCTGTTTAGTGGAAAAAAGCATTTTCTAACGTTCAGTACTTTTGCTTAAAAAATAGTGAGCATTTACTATAAAATAGTAATTACTATTCCACAATAAACCAACGAGTTACACACACACACACACATCCACACACAATCGCTGGTAGGTTGTCTATAAAATGCATTTTCCTCCAGGACTTTTTCACTATTCTACATTTGTTGTGAACAAGAGATATGCTACATTCAAGCACAGCTGAGCATTTGCAGTCTAATGGCGCTTACAAGTTGGTGCTCAGCCTTTTCAGGCTGTGGGTAGTATAAGTTTAGGGGTGCTTCAGTCATTTTGGCATTTATGTTCGCTGAGTTGTGTTTCTGGGCCGAGTCGAGCACTCATTTTCGAGTTTTTGGTTTAGGGGTTTTGCATATGTTTGCAGTTGAGAACTGTTTTCAAATATATGGTATGTTTATGGCAAGCTTGTTGAGACCACAAATAAATTTTTATAAAATTTTCATACATATAAGCGACTTTAGGTCTACACAGGTTAGGTTGAATTAGTTGGTAACAATCTTTGTCATAAAAGGTGCTTCATATTTTTCTGTGAAATGCTCAAGAAAAAACAATTTAGTTATATGATATAAGCCGCTGCTCTAGTTTCCGACTTTCTGGCTTAATAACCGAGAAATCACAACCATATTCTGTGATATAATGCGATAACCCATAACTGGCGAATCCAAATATGATAGGTATGTGGTGTTTACTACTACATTTTAGCTCCTAAAAAGTACCTTTACCGAAGTCAAATGGCAATCATCGCAGAAAAATGAGTTGTATTGTCGCCAGCACTGAATTTGAAGTTCTAAGCAGTTGTTTGAACGATTGCCGACTGGATTCTAGCTCTCTTAATATATATGCTCTGCGTAAAGAAACTTTCTCCGATACCTATTTTGATATATTTTCTACCAACAAAACTATTTGCAAAGCGCCAAAGAGGGGTTAGATCCACTTGAGAAATTGAAAAAATAAATTTTTGCTTAAATATCGATACGACATATACATATACATATGTATGTATATTTGAAAATATTCTTCGAAATTTTTAAGCTAATCCGTGCGACTCGCTCAATTTATGGTCAAAATAATCGGCCTATTGAGCTTACTAATCATTATTGGATAATATCCGACCGAATAGACCACGTTCAGCAGACAGTGAAAAATATATAGCAATCGTAGCTGAGAGTGTACACGAAGACGGTGGTGTGTTGATTCGGTCCCGTTCGCAATAACCTTAAATTGAAAGCGTACAAAATACAGCTTGTGCAATAACTGAAGCTGCTCGGCCTACACAAGCGACATCGTTTCGCTCTTGAGAAGTTCCAAGATGATTCGACTTTTTCGATCCAAATTTTGTTCAGCGATGAGGTTTATTAAATAGGCAAAATTGCTGAATATGGGACAAAGAGCAACCTGAAGAAATTCAAGAGCAGTCATTTTATCCAGAAAAAACAACGGTTTGGTTTGTGGGCCGTCTAATCATCGGTCCATATTTGATGTCGTTGAAAACGTTACCGTCAATGGCCACCCTTATCGCGCCACTATAAGACACTATTTGATGCTAGAAATTGAAGCTCGTGATCTCGTCGATATTTGGTTTCTAGCAGACGATGCCACTTCTCACACAACGCATCAATCGATGGATTTATTGAGAGAACATTTCGGTGAGCAGATAATTTCACATTTTTGGCTGGCCGATTGGACACCAAGATCGTGTGATATCAGAACGTTAGACTTTTACCTATGCGAACAATCTCGCTTCGATTCAGGCATTGGAGCAAAACATCACGCGTGTCCTTCGCCAGTTACCAGTCGAAATGCTTGAACGAGTAATCGAAAATTGAATTCAACGAATGGATCATCTGAGGCGTAGCAGCGGTCAACATTTGAAAGAGATAAGCTTCAAAAAAAGAAATGTCAAAGAATGTTCTTTCAAATGATAATTTCCCAATAAATTTGAAGTTTCTGCGCTTTTTTTTTAAACAAGTAGCGAACCTCAAAAGGCATGCCCCTATAAAATGACTTCTAAGAAAAATCAGAAAAGCCGCATTTTTTCTGACTTGCAAGTGGATATAGCCCCTTAATACACTTCCGTGATAAAGTATTTAGAATACTAGGATAATGGAAAAAAATTTCAACCAAACTTTGTGTCATCACAATATGCATCAAATCTGTGTTTCCTTGTTACATTTTTATTAGTGGTCTCCAAGATTTGAAGTTTTGTTTTCTATGACGTTTATGCTGTGTTTTAGGCGATTACGGTACATTGCATTTTATTTTGGCACCAAATTGTTCATTTCACTACGCTCTCTAAACATACATAAATAATCTCTGCGTCATCTAATACGCACACATGCATACATATACAAGTATTTATGTACTTTAATCTGTGATTTTCATACCTAAACATTTGCATCTGTTATTTCATTATAAACCTTTTTGATTAAATATAGTTTTTATATGTGGGTTACAGTTGCTCCAGTGGGATTGGTTTTGACCTTGTTTTTATACTAATTTTTAGACTTGGAACTTATGGAAGGAAAAGGCTTGTCTTTTTCTTATACAATGTTTTTATGTACATGAATGTTGCTAACATATGATTGTGTGTGTCCAATCGATTAATAGAATATAAAAAAGGAAAATAAAGGAAAAATATTCATAGAAAGGATGAGTTCTATGAAAGGATGAACAGTTTTGTTTTACTTCATCATTGTTTACACCGTAAGGGCATTTCATGGGCTTCATTGTGCTGTATTGTTTTCAGATAATTTTTTTACTTCCATAAATAATTTATTTACTTAATTATAATCGAAATTTCACTCAGCTGTTCGTTGAACAGATAATTCTAGATTATTTTGGAATTATTTTTTACCCTTGTATACTTTTTTAAGTTATGTTTGTATGTATTTTTGAATTTCTCTCATTCTCATTAGCCCTTCCATGTTAGTTTAGAATTTTATATTGTCGCGCACCTTTTCTTTTCGTTGGGAAATGCAGTTACCAATGAAAACATACATACAAAAGTCCTTAAAAATCGTTAATATATAGCTAGTATTATGAAATTTGTGAAAAATATAACTGAAATAAAAGAAGAGTTACAAACGCAATTTTTTTTTGTTTAAACATGTAGTAAAAAAATGTCTTATGAAAGTTATGCTAGTTAATATGAAAAAATATGTGAAAAATATTAAAAATT